CCGAGTTTTCTCTTCACTACTAATTTGACATGCACGACTAACCTTTTGGTTTTTGTTTTTCTGTCAATTCCAAGTAGTAAAGTTTGCCTTGTTTAACACCATAATCAAGAATCTTTCGAGTCAGAATATCTTAAAACACACAAAAAGAAGGCCAAAAAGTTACTGTGCAATCAAAAAATAAGGTGATTTGGCTCACAGATAAAATATTGTATTCAAGAGATGAGACAATAAGAACTGTATCTAAGGTGAGTGTATTAGACAAAATAACAGATCTTTCTTCAGTAATAGGGATTGTACTTCCATTAGCTGTAGATGTAACAGATTGAGAAGATGAGCGAATGAATTGTAACTGGCTAGGGGTCTCTAGTCATATGATCATATACACCTATATCAATAATCCAAGTTGTATTCTTAGAAGTTCCAGAAAAAAATATTTTCTTGATTAATAATACCTGGGTGAGCAACATTTGCTATAGGGTGCAAATTATCTTTTGTATTACATTCAACTTCCTCAGACGATGTCATCTTAGCTTTTCTTACAATCTTTTTCTGTGGTTTTTTTGAGAAATCCCACCGTTCAGGATAGCCAATGATTTCATAGCATCGTCGTTTAGAATGACCTGTTTCACCACAATGATTGCATATAAAATTGTACTTTCCTACAAATTGATTATTTCGAGTTTTTGTTGATGTCGAGGATAATCCATGCAATTTTTGGTTGACAAACATCCCTGAGCTTTCTGAAATCACTACAGAACCTCCTATTGTCTATTGTTGTTAGTAGTCTTTTCTTACATATGCATATGCACTCTTTAAACCCAGTTTTGGATCTTTTCGCAAGATTTCTCCATAAATCTAATTAAGCTTAGAATCAAGTCCACTTAAAAAAATATGAACTTAAAGTATAGTTATTGCAGAATGCAACTGGACAACTCATTCAATTGTTTCTACTTGAAAGGCAGTCCTATGATCAATTTCCTAAAAAATAACAAGAAGTTCACTATAGTAAATAGACAATGGTCTATCATTTTATGTGGTAGAAAAGGTCTTCTGATTTAAATCAAATAGATGGGTTTCATTTGATTCATCATAAAAGGTTCTTCATACAGCTTCCCATATTTTTTTGGCTATGGGAAGGCAAATAAATCGCTGCATGAGGGATGGACTCATTAAGTCAATAAGCCAACTTTTAGCTTTTTGATAACCCATGTTTTGTAATTGGAGTCTTCAAGTACAGACTTTTTTGTTTCTCCATTAAGATAACTAGCTTTATTTCGAGCACTAATTCGCACCTCCATAAGATGAGACCTTAATGAATAGTTCGTCTCATATAATATAGTACTGATAAAAAACGTAAAGTTATCTTGGTGGATAACAATTGGTGTGTTTGGTTGTTGGATACGAAGGGAGTTAATTCAGCCATTTGATTTTATAAAAAGAAATATGAAATTTAATTCAACAAGTCTTATACGAAGAATACTCTGATACCATGTGAAATAATAAAGTTTATAAATAATTTAAGAATAATTATTCTTCTCTTTTTAAAAGCAATATATAGATATAATTATATCACGAAAAAAAAATAAAAATTATTACACAAAAAATCAGTTAATCAAGTTCCTATACTTATGATATTAATATACTAATTTATAATACTAATATAATAATTTACAGTATTAATTTAATATATATTTTTCAACACTAATTTAATAATTTACAACTCATGTCAACACGTACTAACTCCTTTGCACCTTCCTTTTAATTGAAGTTGAGAAAGAGTATTAGTGTAAGATATTGACAATTGATGGACAAAGTAGCAAAGCTAAATAATTCATCAAAATGTAACAAAACTAAATTCAATTCTAATGGCCCCAACAACTTAGAAAGAAAAGATGAACCAGAATGACCTAATCAAACTTTTATAAAGAGATTTTAATAGATTGTGTGATGCTATTGAATTCATTGTAAAAAGAACATATGCAAACTTCCACCGACACGGATAAAAATGAAGAATGTTTGGTAGAGAGCAATCTGTCGATTGAATTAAATGACTACATGTGTGAACAAATGGGAGACAAGCTCAAATATAAACGAGCAGATTGAAATTTGCAAATCATCAACTTATACGGATGAACAAGAGCTAACAAGAATTCCTCACCATATCAAAAATTGAAGAACTACTAAATCATCGAGTTTCATCACTAATTTTGACCCACTACGGAAAATATGTTATGGAGTTTGTCATAAAAGCACAAGCAGTATCCTCTAAAGATAACAGAAAGCAATGATTAATCAATAAATCATTAAGTCTTTTAATCTTCCAAGAGCCATATTTGTAAATTGTTGCTTCAAGAATTACGTCACCATGAGGCCTCAGATTAGCAGCACAAAACGCCAGATATTTCTACAAAAATAAGAAACAATGTTAGTTTCAGTCACTTACATATTTTGGATGAATATATGATTTAACTCATTTTCATTTTCAAATGTTACAATAATAATATATTTCAACTTTGATAAATTTATTATATTGATGATATAGTAATTCAACCAATTTAACATCAGAAGATATTACCTATTACCTATTTACTTTAAATAAATTATACGAAAAAATATTCAATTGAAACCTGCAAATTCATGCACATTGAAACAATATTCAATTTGAATCCATACATTTCTAAGCTGTGATGATGAAGATATATGACATGGTTCCTTGCCCCAGGCAAATGCTCCATGTGGATGTTTATGGGATAACGAGAGAAAGCTATGCAAGTTGAAACCATATGGAGAGCTTTATTTGCTTTCTGAATTCTGGATTTTGGAAGATGTGCAAGATGCATGTTCTAGAACTATTGGATCTTGTTGCACAAGAATGGGAGGTTTGATGGCCAAGAAAAGGAAAGAGGAGGAAGAATTTCTCGTGCAATCGTGTCAATAATAAGCGCACCACGTCAAATGAAGATGACAACAAGATGAGGAAAAGCACTTACATAACATGATCTTGTGATTGCATAACTGCTGAAGGCCGAAAACTATTAAGGCAAAGATTCCAAGACTGATGACAGTCCTTCAGTCTGTTTCTGTCATACCCAAATTTACATTCTGATTTGGAGTGTAACTAAACAAATGAAATACTAAAATTTCATTTAAAGCAAGACAAGGATATGAAAAAAAGGTAAAACCAAACCATTAATATAACGTCTATATATACAAAGAAGCAGCACCTACAAAATGTTTGTGAACTAAGTCACAAACATATTATGGTATGAAATACCCCTTTCTTTACAAAGTGTCACATACGAGATTTAACCTTCCTACAACAGTCTCCAAGAAAGGAGAAAAAGAAATAACTAACAAACTCTTAGAGACCTTAGAGTCTTCTTAGATTGACAACCCTATCAACACCTTAAAAATCTGCCTCCAATACTTCTCTTCATGTTCTAATACTCATTTGTCTGAAATAGTTATGAAGATAATGAGATACACATCTCAGTAAGTGATAAACCATAATACAATAACAAAGAGTCAACGAACATCAGAATAAACGACATTTTCCAAAGATCAATGAGCATCATATAAACAAGCCACACTTTCACCAATATCATGGAAGACATAAGATGGTTTCCAAAAGGTCTGACTACTTCTAATATTATAAATAGGCACATAATTTCCGAAAAGGGTCAAACTTCCTCCATAAAATGGATAGGCACAACAGACACCTTTCATAATATAGATCGGCAAAAATGAACTCCCTCCATAATAATGGCGAACACAAATCAGAATTAAATATCACTGAATTTCTCAAAAGTCCAAACATTAACTTGAGCAAGCACATGGCTATACTACTTAAAAAAAATCATCTAAATAAAGAATTAAGTACGAGCAATACAAGAAAAACCAATGCAAATCATGCTATTATAGGTGGCTTAACTTAAATTGAGGAAATTAAAATGTCGAGCTTTGTTAACCTTAAATCAGTAGCAGAACAACAAAAGCAAAGAGGAACTCTTCAAAACCTCAAATTCTCTCCTCCAGCCCCTTCTAAAAACGAGTTTTTCTTATTTATATTTCCTTTTGTAGTTGTTAAGCAGCTCATGAGAAGAGCTAAAATGGCAACCACTTTTCGATGCCCCAGAAAAATGACACATAACCATGATATGTCGTAAATTTGTCAAGAAAATAACACTAATTATAAGGTGTCACAAATTTTGTCAAGAAAATGACACCTAACCACAAGATCCTGTAAATTTGTCAAGAGACCGACACCTATCCATGAGATGTCATAAAATTTGTCAAGAAAATGACACCTAACCAAGAAGTACCACAAAGTTTGTCAAGAAAATAGCTAGATGTTTGTTTCTTGACAAACTTTACGACACCTTATGGGTAGATGTCATTTTCTTAAAAAATTTACAACACCTTATGATTAGGTATTATTTTCTTTATCAATTTTGTGGCACCTCGCAGCTAGGTTTCATTTTTTCGACAAATTTATGACACCTTGTGGTATGTGTCATTTTCTGGGGTGTCCAGGAACTGCTTGCCATTTTAGCTCTTCTCATGGGTTGCTTAACAACTTTAAAAGGAGATATAAATAATCAAACGGCATTTTTAGAAGGGGCTAGAAGAGAGAACTTATAAATAATCAAAACACGTTTCTAGAAGGGGCTAGAGGAGAGAACTTGAGATTTTGAAGAGGTCCTCTATGTTTTTGTTTTTTGGCTCCTAATTTAAAATTAACAAAGCTCAAAATACTTCAATTTCCTCAATTTAAGGTAAGTAACCTAATATAACATGATTTGCATTGGTTTTTCTTGATATTCCTTCTACTTAATTATTTATTTAGATGATTCTTTTTAAATAATATGACCATGTGTTTGCTCAAGTTGACGTCTGAACTTTTGAGAAATTAGGTGATGTATAATTCTGATTTGTGTTCATCATTATTATGGAGAGAATCTGTTTATGTCCATCTATATTATGAAAAGAATCTGATGTGCCCATCCATTTCATGGAGGGAATCCGACCATTTTTGAAATTATGTGGCTATTCATAATATCAGGAAGAGTACAACCCTTTGGGAACTATCTTGTACCTTTCATGATAATGGTGAAAGTGTATCTGTTGCATGATGATCATTCATCTTTGTGAAATATGTGTATCTCATTATCTTCATAACCATTTCAGACAAATGAGTATTAGGACATGAAGAGAAGACTTGGAGGCAAAGTTTTAAGGTGTTGATAGGATTGCCAATCCAAGAAGACTTTAGGGTCTCTAAGAGTTTGTTAGTTGTATTTTTTTTCTTCTCTTTCTTGAAGACCATGTAGGAAGGTTAAGTCTCCTATGATACCATAAAGCATTTGTGACCTGTTTCACAAAACTTAGACATTATATTAATGGTTTAGTTTTACCTTCTGTCATATCCTTGTTTTATGTGCTTTGAATGTAATTTTAATATTCCATTTGTTTAGTTACACTCCAAATCAGAATCTACATTTGGGGTATGACAATTTAAGCTTGCTAATAATTTATTTCAAAAAGTCTCAGCTTGCTAATAATGGCTGCATGACAAACAAATAAAGACAAAGTTAACTTTGTTCAACTGAAACGAAGACAAGAAGGTTGATCAATTGAAATCATTTTTTCTTCTTTCCACAGAAATCTATGTCTCATCACGCACATTCAAAGCACAGAAGGCCATTCTGTCTTTAAAAAACATTAAGAAACTGTAGTTCCATAAATTACATCAAAGAAGGAGACTCTAAAACCAACATTGAAAGGTTATTGACAAATCAGTAACCTCTTTCAAGAGCATAATAGAGGGAAAATATAGCATACTTATAAATCACCAAGGGGTATAAATCATAAATGGTTAGAACTCAAATGATTAGTAAAGGGTACAATGTTTACGCCCAATTAAGATGGATATTAAACTCTGCACAAGTTTTCTCAGAGAAAGAAGTAAATGCGTACCTGGCTTCTTATCACATATCACTTATGATCTCGATACCAAGCTTTATAAGTATCTATTTCAAGAGGTTCCAACATCATCAATCTCTTGGATCATCAAAACTATCCTCGACTATCTTGAATAGTTATTGCCATCTTGAGATAGTCTAACAGAAGCTGAACGAACCATGTTAACTAGCATTTCATCCAGCTCTTCAAGATCACCAGTCTCCCTTAACTTATGGTATAAAGGAGCCATGTAATCTGCTGCAACTTTTGCTAGTTCCCATAGAGAAAAGTTAGCAGCCATTTGGATAACTTTAACAGACAATTCTTTTGTAGATTCCAAACAAGACCCAATAATCCTAGAACATGCATCCTGCACATCTTCCAAAATCCAGAATTCAGAAAGCCAATAAAGCTCTATATATGGTTTCATCTCGCATAGCCTTCTGTTGTTATCCATATTATCCCATAAACATCCAGATGGCGGATTTGGTAGCTGATCTGTGTAGAACCAGTTCACCAGTTTAATCATAGCTTCCCAACTGATAGGGACCCTTAGGATTTGTGAATGGCTGCAAAGTATGTACAACATTCGAAAAGTGAATAAAGAACCAAAAACTTAACCAAGAAGAATACATGTCTTTTCCAGCAAAAAGATGAAAGGGATGCAAAGCCTAAAATCTTGATGTCTTCAGTTTATTAATGATAAGCAAGTTTTATAGAAGAAAAAAAAAAAGAAAAAGGTTCTTGTTTAATCATTTTATTTTCTGCAGAGCAAAGCACATTGCTCAGTAAACCCTAGGTTAATTCCCAAGAAGCTAACCTGAAAGACAACACATTTTTCTCTGAGTTTTCAAACAGAAATGCATTCCATAACAAGGGAGAAGTTTTTTCACAAGAGACACACACTTGTACATGCATGCATACTTTACGGTGGGTTGCAGTAACGGCATTAAAAATGTCCTATGGGCAGAACATTTGATAGAAACTTAAGCTTGGAGTGCCATGGAGACTATCACAACAGCTTTGTTAGAAAAATAATGAAATATTGTTAATCTAACAGCTCCCCAGACAGTCAGTTTTCTAAACACTCCCCTCCCTTTAGGGATATTTGTAATTGAAAAAAAAAAGGTTTGGGCTTCGGGTTTCGATCTGTGGAGTTGAAGGCAGCTCAAAACTTAAATGAAAATTTTGTTTTGTCCAAGTTACTATTACTCAAACCACATAATTTTAATTATTTCCATAAATCCAAAAAATATGTATATCCAATGTAGTTATTCTACGGTATTAATAAATATATCTCATTGAAAATAACAATACCACATGAAGTTTCCTTGAAATGGTATTAATTTCAGTCAAAAAATATGATCAGTTACCATACTTTTTGATTTTATAGTAAATATTTTTTAAGTTTACACCAAATTGAAGAGAGAAAATTAATTATCGTATTCCAATTTCCACATAAGTCTACTACGTCCATAGTCTACCGAATGTGAATACAGTAACCAAAGACAATCGTTGAAAACTCTTACTCTTACAGTGCAACAATTTGAAAGACAGCATTTCTCGCAGCATCTTTACACAGAACCACCACCAAAACAGACAGTACAATTCTCTCATAGTCACAACATTCCCAAACTAACCCTTCGTATACTACAGCAGGTTTACTCACGGCCTGTAAATGCAGTTTTGGGTCCCATGGAAAGAGAGTAACAAAGAAGCTATTGAAGGTATTTGTTCTTCCTGTTGACAGAATTAGAATGGTTCCATTCTCTAAGCATTTTTTATGTGATAAGGACCTACAGAAACTGATTGATATTTTGACTTATGATCTTTTGCAATGCTCTTGGGTGACACTGTCATGGTCCCTGTTAATATTATATATATCTCTCTCTCTATATATATATATACACATATTTATCCAACAAGGACATCAAGAAAGATTAGAACAATCTCCCGTATACCTTTCCTGCATCCCTGATCGAAATATGGCCCGCAGATAATCACAACTTGACCACAATATAACCTTGTGCACATGCATATGTGGCTCTAACAACGAACAAATACTGCAAGTCCAGTGCATCAGCTCAGTCGAGTTGGCTTCCAAAATAATGTCGCTGGACCACAAAAAAAAATCAAATTGGAAACTGAAATAAGGGTACCATAAATTGATGCAGTGAGTTAAATAAAATGCCATATTAACCAAAGCACCTGAACTTACAAGGATTGTCAAAATAGCTCATAGTGACTTATCTTCTAAAAACCCCATCTATGTTAATTAAATCTAACGTAGGCTTAAATATTAATGCGTAGCCACCCAGTGTAAAAGATCCTTCAAGTTGGTTAAACTAAAAGAGCAATTTTGTAGAATAACTTAGAGGCTAGAAAATTCTGTATGCTTCCAAATTGTTATTGACAATAAAACCTCTTCATGAAAACATAAGGTTATATAAATATAGCATCAAGATAATCCTTTGAACACAACAAAAAGGAAAAACATACGAAAAATGACGCCCAACTGGACTAAGAGCAAGAGCAAGCTCAGAGCTGGGAATAGGAGAACCCCATTTTACACTCTTATGGGCATAACAATTGCAGCAAAGAATGCAAATTACAATGTCTTGATAAACTTTTCAACTTCATCACAAGGTCTTCTTCTACTTCCACATAACCCCTGTAAATATATTCCAACAACTTCAGCAGCACCTGCTGGTCAACACGGGGCAGACATACGAACTTCCCTGAAATGTTCCCACACAGTTTCTTTGTATCATTTCCTACAGAAGAATAGCTAGATGTCTTCTTTTCAGAGGGCAATTGTTCAGGAGGCAGCAATGATGGGCATTGGACAGCAAGCACAACTTTGTGAACATTCAAAAGATGTCCATTTGCAAAAACAAATTGCATATCTGCGAATTCTTTCTCTTTAAGTGCTTTGCCAATTTTTTCCCCAAATTTACTTTGAAAACCATAGAATCCAAAGTAGGCGAGGATATGTGCTGCATACCATCTTGGTCCAGGAGAAGAAACTTTGTTGCAGATCTCCTGGAGTGTGCCAACTAACTGAGATTCTAATTTATTTGTCTCCACAGAAACTATTTCTGTATGATTCTTTTCAGTATAAGAATTACATACCAACCCAAACAGTGCCCACAAGCCATAAAACAAAAGGATATCTTTGCCTTCCCAATCCTCTAGGACCCAACAACAACCCTTCTCGCCAAAAATATTTTGGATATGAGACGCAAAACTTGACCTTCCTATATGCACTTGATTGCACAAGCACCACTTTATAAAGGACAATAGTGTCTTCATTCCTTCATTTTCAACAAGAGACATTAGATACCCTGGCAAGCCTGAATAACATGTAACAGCTGTCAGGTTTATGACAGCTTGAAGCATATTCGACAACGCAAAATTGTCCCTGGATGATGAATACTCAAGGAAATGCAGCAAAGGTTTCACATATTGCTTGCCATTTGGCTTCAGAACTTCAGATAACATGTGCCTGACCTTAGATGCAATGTATTTGCACGGAGAATACATCATCATCAAAACAGCCCTTGAAGCTGATTCACTCCTGGAGCTATTAAGGATATCATTTTGATATATTTGGTGTCGTTTCTGAATTGATTCCAAAAAGGACAAGCTATAAAAAGGACCAAAAATTGGAGATTAGGAAATCATCTAGCACCAAGCAAAAATTCCTTAAACCAAAAAAAAAAAAAAACTAAATGTGAATGCAAGAATAACCTTCAAAATGTAGGCAATAGAAACACAGGGTTAAATGTTCTTTTACCAAAAAAGAAAAATAAATTGAGACAGATTAAATGACCAAACTATACCAAGAATAGATGGTTTATTGCAGTGTTACCATGCACAAGTTATCAGGGTGTCAATATGGAGTTCATTTTCATACAATCCAGGATTGAAATCTTCTCCACCATGCATTGCTAGCCATCCAAGAATGTCCCAAATGAATGGCCTCAGAACAAGAAGATGATTCTCATCAAGGAGCTTTTTTACAAAACACATATGTTCTTCAAGCGACAAGGAGCATTCAAATGGTTTATCTTGTACATTTTTTCGTAGAAGATTAAGAAGCACCCTGCAAATCCCATTCTTCCAAAAATAAATATGATGTTCTCCTGCCCAACGAGTGATTAGAGCCAATTTACAAGCTTCCCTTAGCAAAGCCAAATGGTCATTCGCAATTTTTCCACACTGTAAGGTCGATCCACTCATTCCATGTACTATTGATTTTACTATAGGCTCACAACACATGCTTATCATTTTCAAGCATGATTGTTCATCTGCCTAACCAAAATAATGATACATGAGAACATAAAAAAGAGAAAGATAAAAATCTTAAACAGGCCTGTTTACAGAAACCATTACCGCAAAACATTGTGCAAGTTTGAATCCTTCAATCCGAACAGAAAGGAGATTTGAGCTGTCCATGCAGTTAACCATCATCCATAGTACGTGTTCTCCATTTTCTAGAAGCTTCCTGGCCCCATTACCACATAGAGCTGGCATATTTTTCACAGTATGAGGATGATAAGCTAACTAATACAGTTAAACCAAGTGGGAAAATGGAATTTTACATAAAAAGGAGTTACCTAAACCAAAATACAGTTTCAAGACAACAATCTTAATGCCCAAGTCAGGTCTGGTACAAATATCCTCCAGGACTTTCATTAAAATGCAATCATTCCAAACAAGATATCGAGAAGGTGGCCATCGGGACATCACTGTACTTAGAAGATAACCCATCTCCTGGAAATACTCAATTGGCATAGTAGTTGCAGAATAATCCTTTATATTACAAACAATAAGAGAAACTGTTGTTGTTTCTTCAAGTATCTTGATAACTTCTTTCTCCTTCTGTGCATTTAGATTTGACAAGATCATGTTCAAAGCAGTGGCACATGAAACTGAGACTTCTAAATTATGAATTCTTAACAACAATGATAAGGGACGGGCAAGAACCACCACATATGTCTGCAGCATGGTATAGGGAATAATAGTAATCAGTTTAACCACCATCTTTGCTGCCATGCTTACTACTGCTCCATTTTCACATTGTAGAATCCATACTAACGCCCCTACCATATCAGCTACTGAATCCTGGTCAATGGAAGGATATAGCAGAAATGTGAAACAAGCATTCGTAGCATATGAACTGCAGGGCTAGGTGCCTTAGAGAATTCTCTTTAATAGCAACCAAGCTTTGGCCACAAGAATACATATTTTTCATCGGTGCGTGCAAACTTGTCAGTAGACTTAAATTATGTCCATAAACAACTATCAAGATCTAAGTCTTATCGCAACAAGAAATAGTTTCCTGAACAAGGAGATACATCTTGGATAAAAGTATCTACATGAATCTTCAGCCAGCAAAACATGCTTAGAAAGTGAAACCTTGAACTGACAACAAAAACCAGAAAACAATTAACAAGGTCCACCGATATGATGCTGAGAGCAATTCATACATTAGAATAATTAACATTTATTACATATCCTATTCCAAATGATCATCCAATTTTGAAATAAAAACAACCACATGAGAGTCCTTGCTTTACGTATGCAATTATGCATTAAATACAAAAGCCATTCCCACAGTTAAGCAGCAGAAATACTAGGAAAATTTTCAGATTAATATAGTGTTACCTTTATAAATGGATTATTTAAAATGTCTCCCGAAATAGCATCAAGAAAAGCAGCAATTGAGCGAAGCACGTGCCTCTGTATCTCTATATCCGTGCACTGCCATTTCCTTTCGTTTTCACCGTAAAGTCTGCAATTCTCCAACAAAATTTAGCCTCAGAATGACATACAAAATCGACATGACATCACCAAAATTGAAGGGAGCAAAAAAAGTAAGAAAATAAAATAATTCACAGACAACACTTACTGAATTTATAACAAATTAAAAGGAGGAGGAGAAGAAACGTAGATGATAAAACCTGGTGCCTAGACTCAAGGCGTGGTGGAAACGTTGATGGAGAGTGTTGAGGTGACCATTGATGCCTCTGTTGCTCTCTGCTTCTCGCTTTGAGGATCTCATTTCCCCGTTACGTATTGAATTTCTTGAGGTTCAAATTGTAAACTGAGGTTTAGACGAATAGCAAATTAAGCTTCAGAGTCTCCGAAGGCGGTGCAGTAGACTGGTAAAATTGTTGGGTTTTTATTTTATTTTTTATTCTATAATTTTCTTAAGCACAATTTTATTTTAATTTACTTATTGAGGGAATTTATATTTATTTTTAGTATGCATTTTTTAAAAAATAAATTTGGTAGATAAAAACTACTAATTAAGATTAGTTACTTTTTTATTATTAATAAATAAATAACACGAAGACTTGTGTCTATCACATTTTCTAAAAGAAATTAAATTATTTTTATTTTTTAAAATGTATTATGATAATTATACTTACTGTGATATACTACTTACATTAATATAAAAAAATATTATACATTCACTCTAATTCCCTTTTTATTTTGTTCGTGTTTCAATCAAATATAAATTAATTTAATAATTATTTAATTATATAATTATTAACATAATTTAATTGACAATAAATTAAACAAATTAAATGATTGTCTAATTCAATAAATAAAGCGATTGACTAATAGTAAAATATTTAATTGTCCCTGTATGTGTATATATATACCTTATTTTTATTTAATAAAAATTAAGTCATTATCTTAATTTTAGAGCATAACGGGTCTGACACCATCAACGAAGACTAACACAAACTAGTTCATGCATATGAGCATATATATATATATATATATATATATATATAGATAGATAGAGAGAGAGAGAGAAAGAGATCCAAGACAGAGAAAGATAGTTCATGCATATACACACAGATATATATATATATATATATAGAGACCCAACACAAAGAAGAAAAGAGGGAATTGATTATTTATCATCACGGTGCAGGTGACCGGGAGGATTATCATTAGCAGAAGAATCAGATGAAGTGTTCTGCTGCTGCTGAGTGGACTTAGCAATATTTTCAGCACTGGAGAAGAGATGAACAGGTTCAGAATCTGCAATCTTGCCACCTTCAAGAGGTGTTCCATGCTTATATCTAACTCTCAAGCTTTCATCTTCTGAGACTTTTGCCTGTGCTGTTCCATACTTTATATCATCTTTGCTCGTCGCCATTTTCCCTCTGCAATCTCTTTCTTTCTTTCTTCTTCTTCTTCTTCTTCTTTTCTTTTTCTGGGTTTTTGCAGGGTGTGTTTTCTCCCCCTGCATGGAACTTATAGCGAGAATGATTGCCACGTGGCAGATTTTAATGGTGTAAGTTGCCACTTATACCATGTCTTTGTGAGCTATCTGTACCCTTCATATAAACCCACGTCTTCATCTACTGAGATATTCTTTTTTTTTATCTTAGTTAAATTTTATTTTCGAATTAAAAATATGAATATTTATTACTTTTTTTAAAACTTAAAATGGTAATTCATTTTTAATTGAAATTACTTAGTTATTAAATTTTTTGTTTTAATAAAATTTTAATTATTTTTATTTAATTAATTTAAATGCATAAAATATTGAATAAATAAATTTTTTTTTCTCTTTCAAAGAACTTTCTTTTGATTAGTAAGATTATGATTTTTTGTTACATCATGTCGCAGTATACTATGAAAACTTATTTCAAACACCATCGATACACAAAAAAGGCACGAACTTAATGAAAAAATCAATTCGTCAAATGCTGACTGAGTCTTTTCTTTCTCAATATATATATATAATAGTGCAGAAAATAATATGTTATTATGCAAAAGCAGCATACACAGCTCACGATACTATTATAACAATATTATTTCATAGTGCATCTGGTATAATTATCTCTTATTTTTTCTTAGAAATCTAATATAACAAAATTTTTTAGTATGTCTCTTTCTCTCTTTACTGATTCAATAGAGTAAGATAGTTATATAATTATTTCTTAGATTATTAACAATAGTACATTGAATCACATCATATCTACACTATATTTACACACAAGTATGATAATACCTTCTAAAGTTGTTTTACCAAATAGTAATAGAGTGAATGTTTCTAATGTTAGAACGATAGAAATAATTGATACTCTAATTCTCAGTAATATTTTATGCATTACATATTAGTTTTGTGTGATATAAAATATTTCAACTTAAAGGACAATTAGAGTGAATGAAGCGAAATATAGTCTATACCAATTAGAGCAGCCAAAATTCATCTCATACAGTCTCAACATAACTTCTCTAGTTCAACAGTTTTAGACCTCAATAAAGGTAAACTATTTGACCTTTGGTATATATGTTATATGTGTGGATTAAAACGATTTTAGGTCTACAAGACAAGAGTGATAATATGATGGGTTTAGATGTTATTGATAGCATTGTTAGGTGCTTTAAGATTTGGGTTATAAGTTGTTTAGGGGGTTGGGTGTGTGGTGGGATTATGAGCATAGAGCTTGTGGTTGTTCATTCAGATAACGTAGCTTAATTTAAAAAAAAAAGTTGAAAAAAAAAATTGATATAGAGATTTGTGGTTATGCAATTAGATTAAAGAGTTTAGTGTATAAATATAAAAATAAGAAAAAAATAAAAAATAGAGAGAAAGGACTAGAAAAATATAACAAATAAAAAAAAGGAAAAAAGAAGTAAGAAAAAAAAATACATATATATATATAGAAAGAGAGAAAGAATGAGAGAAAGAGATGAAGAAAGCAAAGAAAAATAGGCAATTAAAAAAAGATTAAAATCACTCATAGGGGAGCTTTTGTTTGAGATAGCTAATTTTGAGGATTATTTTAACAACCAAAGAGGAAATATGTCTTATAATTTTTGTACAGTGGTTAGATTTGCTCTGTGGTTATTCTTGACATGGAATTCTTAATGCATTTTGGTGTTGTGGCGCAAGTTTAATATGTTTGGGACTATTAAGCGATGTCATTATATTATTGTGTTTAAATAATAAAAATTGTTGTTTATGCAAATAATATTGCAATCTCTTTATTGGCCTCTTCTTGTTGTTGAGTTTTTGGAACTATCATCAAAGCTATTTTATATATATATATATATATTTTTTTAATTATGCAAGATATATTTTAGAGAGTATTAAATTTATTTTCAATTTGATTCTTATTGTCATAGAGGCATTAAG